TATATATATATATATATATATATATATATTATATATATAATAGATAATAATAATAGTAGTAATACATACATACATACATACATACATAAACAAAGAGAGAAAGAGACACCTACACGTTAATAATATATATATATATGTATAGGATATACACGTATGTTACATATACATACATATATTTATATATTATATATTAAATAAGTCACTTCAAATTGAATTTATTTAATTAAATGACAAATACATTTTTATGTAAAAAATATATTTTATTCTTAAGGGTTGATGTGTGGATTTTTATTTAAATATTTATTAATTTTTTTTCAGTTTGAAGAGACTTACTTGATTTATTTATATAAATATATATATATATATATATATATATATTTATATTAAATAAATGTATATATAAATATAATATATAGACTATTATACGCTGGTGTACACATAACAGAGTTTATTATACGTATTACGTACAAAGAGACGATGTTGTTTGATAAAAAAGAGAATTTAAAAAAAAAAATGTGGAAGATAAATAACCAAAAATATTATTATTATTAAGAAGATATGAATGAATAATATTAAATATAAATAAACCCCGTTATGTGCGTTAAAAATGCTCACTCATATCTGAAAACGAATGAATGCATCGATTATGGGTGATTGATAAATGTGGGTGGGTGTTTCAAATGTATGTGTGTGTGTATGAGTTGTTGTGTATGTGCATACATTAAAATATATATATATAGAATTATGTAGGATGTTTATTAAATATCTGTGATTTCGATTTATGATATAAAATATATCATATTTTATTTAGTTTTTTTGTTGTTGTTTGAATTTATAATTTTTAAGTAATAGAATTTTTTGTTCTTAATAATATTTTTTAGAGTAATTATATACGTATTTTTATATGTGGAAAAATAGAAATTAAGAGAGAAATATAGAAAATTAAAAAGTTCAAAGCATTTTGTTAAAAAAAAAAAATAAAAGTGAAGTTAAAAAAATGTTACAATTGAGAATGGAAATATTTATTAATTAAAAACATAATAATTATCAACATCCTATATACACACATATATGCATATGTATGTATATAGGATAGTGTTTAATTCTGATAAGAGAAATGATTTAAAAATTAGTGCGTTAATAATAATAATAATAATAATAATAATAATAATAATAATAATAATAATAATAATAATCTAAGAATGATGAAAGAATTAATTAAATCTAGTAATAAACGAATAAATGAATTCAATAAAAATAATTAAAGAAATGTTAGAAAGAATGAAAAAAGAGAAAAAAAAGAAGAGATACAGAGAGAGAGAGAGAGTAAAAGAAATTCAGGTGTATGATTGTCCTGCATAGGTTTAAGAAGAAGTGACGTAAAATGATCGGTAATTGCGCAAGGTAACAAATTATACAGGTACATAAAAACAAATTTATAAAAAATAGAGAAAAAAAGAGAGAAAGAGAGAACAATAAAAAGAGTATAATTATTACCATTATATAACAAATTTAATAAATAAATAAAATACAGGTGCTACATCTTCGCAAATAGAAAAAATCAAGGGCATCGTTCAATTGGATTTTAATTATTTTTTTATTTATCTGTATATTATTAAAAAAGATATATATATATATATTTTATTGATCAGATTCTAAGAAGAAGAAGAAGAAGAAGAAGAAGAAGAAGAAGAAGAAGAAGAAGAAGAAGAAGTAGAATTAGAAGTAGAAAGAATAAGAAAAAGGAATAAAGTAAATATATATATATATATACATATATATTTCGTTATATAAAAAATAGCTTCGTTCTACTGTTTCTTATGTATACATACACAAACAAACAGAGAATTACATAGATAATATATATATAAATTCACCCACGTATTAATGGAAATCGATAAATCGATATATCGAAAAGGTGACTGTATACTACTGAGCTGTGATTACCGTCCGTAATTTGTTACGGAATTTACGTCACTAGGAGCAACCAGTAGAATGAAGAGTACAAAGTAAAACGTTTCCTAGAGAAATAGAATAAGGAGAGATTAACAATTGAGAGAAAGAGAGTGAGAGAGAGAGAGATTAAATGAAGATTAATAGAAATAAAATATAGATACATAGTACGTGAATATATGTCGTGTGTGTGTGTGTGTGTGTATATGTATGTATGAAAGAAAGAAAGTAAGAGATGAAGTAATATTTATATGTATTATTAATATTATTATTATTATTATTATTATTATTGTTAATACACATAAAAGATGTACCCGGCTTGTTGTTGTCGTTTAAAAATCTCATTAAATAATTGAAAATAAAATATTATTGAATTATATATTAAAAAATTAACCTAGTTAGTTGAAAGATGTGTATGAAAGTAAATCTTTGTATAACAAAAAAAAATAGACACAGATAAGAATATTTATTATAAATTAATTAATTAATTATTATTATTATTATTATTATTGTTATTGTTAAGTAGTAGAGAAAATTTTAGTCGTTTTGATCAATAGATGATATATATATGTATGATATGTTAACGCAAAAACGGCACAAACTTTCTTGTTTATCTAATATTATCTTTTCTGATCAACAAATGCAACGGCACGTTTGTTTATTTAATTATTTCGTTTATTGTTTATTATCAAATCCAATTAATTTGATTTGGATTAATCGATCATTTGATTATCTTAGATCATTATCACCACATTTTTCTTATAAATGGTCCCCCCTACCTTTTCTCCCATGTCTTTCTTCATGGGATATTCCTCATTCATTCGCAGAAAGATTAGAAAAAAAACCTTAGTTAGTAACAATCAAATTGCCAGTGCCTAATTCCTAATACGTAACCACAATAAATAAATGAATAAATAAATTAATGAATAGACAAATTAAATAGATAGATAAACATATGAACATTTTAATGAAATATTAGGTCAAATGTCTTAAATAATTTCTTTTTTTCAGTCAGAATTAAAATTAAAAGAAAGAAATAAAATATTCTCTGAGAATTAGTTTTCTTTTTGTTTAATATTATAATAATGTTATTTTATTTTTTTTTAATCTTTACCCCGAAAAAACATTTCGAGTGTTGATAATTTCAAATAAAAATATTTAAATAAAAATGATGCAAATAAACGAACAAACAACTTTGTGTGAGAAAGGAATTGTAAACGCAAAAACACGAAGTATGTTTCTGTGTGAATGCGTGCGTGTGTTTGTGCGTATGTAAAAGAGAGAAAGAAAAATGGGATAAATAAAATCTACGTTAGAATTAATTCATTTTAATTAGCACAAGGATATATAGAAATTTAAAGGAAACGATAGAGAAATATGTTATATGTACGAATAATCACGTATTATTATACGTAATACAGATAAAGATATATATGTATATAAAAATATATATGTATACACGTTGTTGGACAATGTTATAAGCATAAAAAAGTCAGGTGAGATAGACAGAGAGAGAGAGAGAGAGAGAGAGAGAGAGAGAGAGAGAGAGAAAGAAAAGAAG